GTATGTGCAGATTTCTCTTTATATTACAATAACATAAGCAGATTCCTGACATAAAAAGAATTCACGCCCAATAAATCTGTATAGCAATCTTCTAATCGAACAAAAATATATACATACTTATGTACATACAAACACTTATATTATATACATATATATAAGTTATAACTGTGCATTCTTTAACAATATGAATGCTCGTTTCATTTAACGGTTTCTTATGTCTATCAAATGGGGCCGCGCGGCGCCACAAACGTGTGGTGTTACAAGTGCTGACAGATGACGGTGAGCTGGTGGCGTTGGCGGTGGCAGTGGTGCGGTGTGTGTGTATGAGTATGTCTGTGTCACTGGTGTACGTGAACGTGACACTTGCAGGAGCTTACATTGGCATTTATGTGTCAACTGCACTTTTAAGCCGATTTAACCAAAAACAAAAGACAAGAAAATCTCTTTGAGATTCCAAGTGTTCGCATTTTAACTGTTCAGTGATAAATTAAAGTAAAGTATGAAAAATGTGGGCCATTCGCTGGCACACATGCAAACACCCGCACACACGTACATCATGTATATCCAGCGTTTATTGTGCGAGCGGTGCACCTTGCACACCGTTGACTGCAAATATTTACTACTTATAAATAAAGTGGAAAAATGGCTGGCAATATTTTACTGCTGGTGAATAAAAAGTTTTTGCCAGAATTGCCACTTCAGACATGCGTCGAGATAAAAGCGCTAAGAGTATAACTCAAGGTGTACCAGGGTGTGTGGATTTACATATGTTGGGTGTAAATATGTGGATCCCGTATCAAAACAAAAAAAAAGTTATAATAAAACGTATAAATATTTTTTGTGAATATTTCTATATGGGTTGATAAATGCTTTGGTGGTTGAAGAGTTTTCGTATTTATTATTTGGAAGTGAAAATATAAAATTAACTGCTGCTTTCGAGAATTTTGACAATATTTAAATATTTTCTATATATTAAATATTATGAGTAAAAAGTTGTGAAGATGATGTGGATTACCACGCTACATGCCATATAGCCAACGAAACAATCAATTCATTGAACGAAACTTTCAATTAGGGCATTATTTCGCGTCGTGCGACTGTGGCGTTTGCCTCCAAAACCGTGCGATTTAACAACGCTGGAATATTTTTTGTGGGGTTATGTGAAGTCGCTTGTCTACGCAGATAAGCCTGAGACGATTGACGCCTTGGAAGATAATAGTCGATATGTTGTTGCTGACATAAGGCTGAAAAAGTGGTCGAAAATTGGGTATCTCGGCAGTAATTTATTCGCGCCAGCTTCAACGTTCACTTCAACGAAGTCATTTTTAAAACTAAATTTTTGGCCGTTAAATTATAAACGTTTTATTACTTTCTTAAAACCATATGTCTATAAAAATATGCTGTCTAATCCGTATCTAACTATTACTTTGGCAGCTTTCTTTTAATAATAAAAGTATATTTTTTATTAGCGATCCATGACTAATATTGTACATGTTCTCTTGTGCGTATGGCTTTTCTCGATGAAATATTTATTTATATTTGTTTCCAAATTCCGAGCTCATTTTCCGATCCATACTATTTACATATGTATATACATATATGTATACCATATATATACCATATGTTACCATACTTACAATACATTATTAGCAAAAAAACAAAAATATGCTCGTAGTACAAGTATTATAATGATTCCTTTATAGCACCGTAAAATGTGCTGACTCTAATGAAAAGTGTCAATATTTATAAAACAAACAGAGAGTATTTAAAATATAGATATAAGTAGATATAAAACACTGATATTGAATAAGGTTTAAATATAATATTATATTTACATGAATATTTAGTTAGGTCAATATGTCGAGAATGTGTGAGCATACCCAGTGGGGAAATTACAACTATGTGATTACGACACAGAAACTATACTCGATCTTTGGAAACTTGGAAAGTGACGAATCGAGCAACCATCTGGTATAAATCAGAGTTTTAAAAATATCAGTAAAATATTATATATAGAGATTATTTAAATTTGAAAAAGTGTGCAACTGTATGCTCTAGTTTCCACCTTTACATACAATGTATTTTGTAAGAAAGCAGAGTTTCAGTTTAGCGGTCAGCTAATAAGTTTAATAAGTTAAGTTTTAAGTTTTAATAATTTATTTAGAGGGTGCTGAATCGAACGTCGAGCTAGTATAATTCATATAATTTGGTATAAAAAGTATCAGTAGAAGTAGTTAAAAAATTTGAAAGCACTGTTGCCAATTTTAATGTTTTTTTGTTAAAAGAAAGCAGGGCTCCACTTTAGCAAACAGCGGAGTGGCGAATCGAATGTGTTTCAGGTTTGATTTATTTTTACTTTACTTTACTTTTTTGCATAAATATTTAAGTGAATGTGTCTCTACTGGCTTTCACAATCAACTCATAAATAATCACCTGTTTAACTTCGGTCTTTCCTATTGTTTTGTATGCAGGTTTTTGTGCGTTTTCATGTTTTGATTTTCGTTGTCAGGGTGATTAAATTTGAAAATAGCATATATTTGGCGTAAACAAAGTCTACTAAATACATTTCGTCAACATATTAATACCCTTGAATGTGTGGAAAAGTGTGGCAACTCGCTATATTTAATTAATTAATTATTTACAGTATATTGTTTGCGAAATTCATAATTTGTAAAATAATGTTTGTTTTCTGGTAAATTTTATGTATGTATATAAATACTTAAAATCTATCTGTGTGGCACAATGCCTTTTTAATTGGGTGCTTAGTTTGATATAATGCACACATTTGTGACAATATTTAACTATCAAACTATCTGAATACAATGCAACCGATGCAGTTGAATATGAATAAGAGATTTTCGTGCTACTAATAAAGAGGTTTAAATGCTTAAATTTATTTAATTATGTGAATATTCTTAAATTGAAGCTTTTGACTTAAAAATTGTGCGAACATTTAAATAAAGTCAATCCTTTTCGGATGCAACCAAGGTAGAAAGTACGTAGCGAGGCTTTGACTAATGCCAGAGTAGCATAATATTCGATAGGTCTGGTTTTTCTAAATGACGAACAATATTTTTGACCGAAATGTGTTGAAAATTTTCGTGTTTGTTTTCCTCGTTATCAGAACACTCAGATCTATTTTTGGGAACGTAGGACAATTGTACGTGGCGGAATTGCCAGTACTAGTAGGGAAACCTTTGCTAGAATTGTGGGCAATACTACGGGCACGTCAACAGAAGTCGAATCGCTGTTTGGCAGCCAGAATTCTGGAGCGCTACGGTGCCAGGAAGTCAGAGCAGGCATCTGTTCGTATACGATTGCAGTAACGAGGATGGTGTCGTCTTCCATGAAGGGTGGAAAAGCGAAACTGCGGCCATTTCCGTGATTTTCAAGAAGGTGGGAGAGGTGTGGAAAGGGGCCAGTTTGGAGGCCGTATACAAAGTGGATCTTTTAATGCGTCCTCGTGCTCGGGCTTGCCTCTCAGACGAACCTTCCTCCGCAAAAGAAATTGAGTAGATTATTAAATAATGTACGCTGTCCGCGCACGATTCATGAGTTATACAGCTCGAGAGAACCGATGAACCTTATCGGCATACGCTGATCCTGCTCAATGCGGTGTCCATCAATCCTCTCAAGGAGTCTAGGGTGGCCGTAAGCTATGGCTTTGAGAGGGATTATTCCTACGGATGCCAGGATGGATGGTCCTAAACTCCATAGTGCGGTAGAGGAGAAGGGAGAGACCACCTAGGGACCGTGGAGATAAAACTAGCCAGCAAAGGAGGTGGATCGTCAACTATCCAATCCGTCTTCAGTTTGGAATGGCTGTGCAAGGAATACCGCAAAAGGGGGCCCTGAACAAGCGCTATCGGAGAAGAGAATGAAGGTTCTTTAGGTTAAACCTCATCATCATATATTAAATTTGATGGATACTTCTGACAAGCTCACAGAAGTCAATACACCTGCAAAACTTAAACGAGACAATTCTGCTATAACACTCTAACCTAACTTATACTGATCTCTCTCCGAATTCAGTTAAAACACAACAAGAAAGTTTTCCATTCTATCAATGGTAAAAGCTTTAAGCTTTTAGATTCTCCCATAATTGTAATGTCACCAATTCAGCAGGCAAAAGATCAAAACTCTACGCGACAATAGACTGTTGAAAATATACGTGTACTCGAACTAATTGAATTAGATTTCAACATAACTGTTTTAGTAGCTGACAGCAGAAGGCATAAGCCTAATGAATCAGCATTACGGAGCCTCAACAAGTGAATCTCGCCCAAAAGTGTTTTGAATGTACCGAACTTTCGCGTTACAATCGCGGTTTCGTCATATGTGGCTGCCGGAAAAAGGGATGAATGGGCCGGAAAACATTATTCCTGCATGCGCCTTTCGTTGCTATTTGTAATTGTGCGCAATTTTTGGTTTTGCTAAATACCCGTACATTATATGTACATATAAATCAGGCGGTAATGAGATGAGGCCGCCGCAAAATAATTGAGAGAAATGATGATGCGGAAAAGCCAGTGATTAGAGGGCGGTGTGGGTGCGGCAAAACAAAAATCGTTCACATTTAAGTAACGGGAAAATTTAGTGCACAAACCGCTGACGTAGCGGCGCGATATGAGTAACGGTACGCAAACTGACTGATGTTCGCAAAGGTTCTTCTAACTTTTGTTGCGTCAAAATGTGCCACAAGCGTGCGAGCGTTACATAATTTGTTAACGGTACATCCCTGGGGAAATGTAGAGATTGCGGGGCGGGTGATTTGATAAATTTTGCTAAATAATTTTTGAATACGCTGACATGTGGCAAATTAAATGCTGCGCATTTCTGCTGAATATTAATTGGGAATAATGTTCGCACAGAAACACATAGACCGATTTCATATGTAGACATACCAACGTACCGCCATAACAGTTAATTAGCCATGTTGTGTTAGTCTGATTTGCATTTGCAGGCGTTAATTGATTTTTCTGTTCTCTTTCTCTTTACAGCACGCTCTCCGAGCGATGATGCTGAGGTGATTGATGTGCCGCGTCGCCACTCAAATGACGATTCGGATGAAAGCTCAGTCGGTGAACCTGACTTCAAAGATTTCAGAGGCGTTATTGATACTGGTGTGGGCTATCCATTCTTGCAGCCACATCCATTGCCGTTCTCATTTAATTTGGGCTTCTTCGATGCTTTTGAAGGTAAGTACGTTTGGAAGATTTAAAAGTAATTCAAAAAGGAAAATTTACCTGCAAAAAATTATTTAGGCTTAAATATAATATTTTATAGGTAGTTAAGTGTAGCTAATTGGAAGATTGAGAATAAATAAAAAGGACAATTGGTACAAGAAATTCAGCTTAGATCAGAAGTAATCTTATACTCTTTATATACCTATGTAACCAATCGTTATTTGTGCCAGGCTGGATCAATTTTAATCCATTTCCTTTCTGATCAGTTTTAATAATTCTTTTTTTGCAATTAACTACGCTCTTTTATTAATATTTTTTGGAGCACATACTTAGCTAAATTATATGCGAAGGCGGTCGGATAGTCTTCTTTCAGCTCAACACATTTGAACCATTGATGATCGAACTTTTTAAAACGTTCTGTTAAATAATATTTCTGGGGGTCTGCAAAGTAGTTATTCATAAAATCCATATGGAGGAAGGTGAACTGGATTCATCTTGCCACTTTAAACGCTTACTCGATCCATGAGGATATGGTAGGAGTTAATGGGTAGCATGAGAGACGAATATCTGCTCAAGTGTTATCCATCGGTTTTGGATCGACCCTACGACTTAACCTAACATTCGTAAAGTCTTCATTCAACTAAAATTTCTGCCTTGAGAGTGACTTTTTCAAGTTTAGAAACAAATAGAAGACACACGGTGCTATATCTAGAGAATACGGTAGGGGCAGCAGTTCGTAGACAAATTCGGCATTTTGATCGTAGCTACGGCGAGGGTCTGAACCGGAGCATTGTCATGGTGAAAGAACACTTTTTTTTGTCACCGAGTGGGGTTATTTTTACTGCAATTAGGCAGAGTGGACGGCCAATAGAATAGCCTGTATTATGTACGGAGCAACTTGACCGATGTTTACACGAATAAGCGATGGAGTTTGATTTTCTAGTATTTTTTAAAAATCTTGCGGTCAAAATAAAAAAAATCCGTTCCGGTATTTATGATAGTATTCGTACGAGTATACGAGAATGTACAACCCGATATTAAAATATTTTGCGAGAGTGGCGCCATCAGATGTTGGGCTTACTGGATAATTTTGGAAAATGCTGCTTAGGTAATAATCAGGATGTTCGATTCCGTTCTGGTATTCTGGCTGCCTTGGCAATGATTTACGGTCCCCCCACCCTATTTCAAACCTGAATCTCTTAATTATGTTGATTTTCACACTATGAAATGCAAAAATTTTTTTTACAATCGCTAGCAAGTGCTAGTTTGTTGTTTTTATGAAAGAAATTATCAATATATTCACACTCTATTTGTCTGTAAGAGAAATTAATTTGCACAAATGGCACAACTAGAATTTGGTGCTTGTCTCATTAGTTCAGGGTTTTCATATTGTCATATACCATATAAGTATACTCCCATGTACATATTTATATGTACGTAAACAATTATGCGGTATACACTTTAAGTGAAGCCTTCAAACAACCAAATGCCATAGAAAATTAGCCTAAATAGTTTTTTTTATACGGTGTCGCGCACAATCAATTGTGTTTTGTAAGACGTCCACTGGAAATTGGAAAATAAAAAAACAAAAAGTAATAAAAAAAGAATAAATAAGCGAAGCATACAATGCAAGCCCTCGTAACCTTTAAGAATACGGTAGACTATTAGGAACAAGGCTAAGAATAGAAACTTGGAAATAGAAAGACAACAAATAAACACGCAATGCAAATGAAAGACGGCAGAACAGCTTGCAAATGTGCACGCAAAGTCCATTTCCTATGAAATACATATAATACTACATTGTGTAAAATATATGTAAATGAATACGCATTATAAGGTGTGCTCTTTTAATGGTTTAAAAGAAAATAAAAAATAAACGTTAACTTCGGTTGCACCGAAACTTTAATACTCTTGACAAATACAAAAGATTCCACACAAGAACTTGATTTTGATCGGTCAGTTTGTATAAGTCTATGATATAGTGGTCCGATTTAGAAAATAACTATGTCGGTACCTTTGACATTAATCAATGCCAAATTTTGTGAAGATGCTATCTCGTCAAATAAAAAAGTTCTCTAAGCAAGGATTTGATTTTGTTCGATCAGTTTGTATGGCAACTAAGTATATGCTATAGTAATCTGATCTGAAAAATTTCTTCAGATATCATACCGTTACCTTGGAAAATAAGCCATACCAAATTTTACTAAGATATCTCGTCAAATACAGACTGGCGGACTGATGGAGGGACAGACAGACAGACATAATATTTTATAAAAACATTTCTAGAGTATATATCGCTGAATAGAAGAATAGCTCAAGTTATGAAAAATAGTGGCTAAATCTATGATTTTTGTTTGTAGAATAATAAATTCAGCTGAAAATTCTTTACACTAACAATCCTTCGATTACACAGCAATTGTTTAAACTTTTCGAGGGTCCTCTATGTAGGATGAAGGTATCGAACAATAAGATAAAATTGATACACCGGAACGTTGATGAACCAGACATAAAAAGTTGTTTGGCCGGATCTGCTAAATAATCTAATAAATGTTATGGAGCTGTAAACTAGCTATCCTAAATTTGTTAAATGTAGTAGAGGGCGAATCGAATAAGTAACTGGTATAAACTGGCCTAATAAAATCGAAACAGAATAGCAAGCGATTATTGCAATCTAATGAGGTTTACTCACTTGGATTGAAGATAATGTTTTCACTTTACAATTTATCGGCAGCGCTGAAACTAAGCTATTAGATAGGTATGGAAACGAACACGTATATTATTTGATGATATGCCGAGGTTAAATATAAGATTAAAGAATTTCATTGCGAACATGAGAGAAGTTTTGTACATACTGCAAAACAATTTAACACCCAAAACTCTTTACCCCATTACAATAAGTATCTCAGTGAGGTTGTGGTTGCATATGTTACTTGAATTAAGGTCATGTAGAAGCTTCTTCACAATTTTAATTTTTTTAGTCTACATACATATATACATATATACTTATGTCTTTATTTTGCATCTTGGCACATTAAATACTTTTGATTAATTACAATCCTACTGTTCCACATCCGCCAACAATCAAATTGGGGAAAATACTTTTCAAAGCTAACAATGAAAGCGCCATCAAATAAGAAACTACAAAAAAATTAAAATCTGCTTTATAGTATTGTACATAATATGTTAAAGTATGTGTTTCATCGGTTCAAGGTCGGGTTGAGAGAGCAGCATATGAGTATATGAGTAGTTGAATACTAAGTTTTTATATGCGTTGTATAAGTATCAAGTTTAAAAGTTCTTTACTGAGAGCAATGAGAGTTTTTGAATAACAATAAAGCAATCCATTATGGTAAATAAGATAATGTAGAAGAATGTGGTTTTCTTGTAAATAATAAATCATAAATTTATATAAAGATATATATTATAAAACGGAAATATTTGATTAGTCAGCTATTGTTTACGGGTACGTTTTGGGAATTTTTCGAAATAGAATTTGTTTTTTGTTTTATTATTCGCAAAAAAAAATGTTATACCTGTGTTTATTAATCAAAGAAATTAATAATATATTACATCAGGTATTACATCAGGTTATCTAAAACCTGTAACTTTTCGAGCAAACAATTTACTTTTGTTATCTAGTTGGAACAAATAACAATAGTTTTAGTGAAGAGTTATTTTTAGATAGGACCATAGTTAAGGACACCATACACTCTTCCAGGTTTGATGCATCCTTATGTGCTTACATTCTCAGCACGGTTTTCTAATTTAAATGAGTACTATTTGATCGAGATTCTTTAAAGATTTATTTGTAGTATATGTCACCTATTGTAAGGTGCTGAGAGAAAGGTTAAACTTTCCTTATGTACGAAATTTACCAACATTCTCATGACTCACTGAGTCAAAACCACAAGCGCTTAAAAATTAAAAAATTTCGCTTAATTCCTATGCTATAATTCTCTGCCTGATTTGATGATATAAAACTATTTCCGAGTTTTTTTTTATATAAAATTGCTGGGGTACAGGTTTTGATCAAGTTAAGTGGCATTTAATTGAATATGCTAATATATAGTAGATATAGTATATACCCATTAAGAAATAATTTATTTATTTTACTCTCCTTTGTACCTGCAGATATTTTCCGTCGTCTACGCAATCAGATTTGGTCGTCAAGCGACGACGATTTGGGCGCTTTCGACACCTCGAAAGGCAATACAACTTCAACTGTGAAGGTACCGTTACATATATAAAAAGACGAATATATTTATTACCACTAACGCTTTTACCGCTACTTTAGGTTGTCGATGGTCATAAGATCGAAGTTAACGAAACCGTATATGGCGATGCTGACAATCTCTTCAAGGTGCGTTTGGTCAACATTCGTCCGCTTGAGTCGGGTGAAGAAGTTGACGAAACACCAAACTCCAAAGCACCAAATCCTGTGACATCAGCACCAAATAAAAAGAATGACGAGAGCGAATCGGATGAACGTCGTGAACCGTTAGAGAAGAATTCATATGATAATGAAATCAAACGTAACATCGATGATCCCGAGGTAAAATATTAAGCGCTGGAGCAACTTTGCAATTAACGCAAATAAATTTATTAATACAATAACATTGTAAAGTTTTGGATATTTTCATTTTATTTTATTATTTTCAAAGAATTAATCTTTTCTCCAAGTGTAAAATTCTGAAACTATTTCGATTTTCTTCGCTACTTTGTACTATATGAATTTCAATATTTTTTTCGATATACTTAAACATATCTACATCACCTAAAGTATATTTATATACTATATGTGTACTTATATAGTATATATATATCGAATATTACCAAATCTCAAAAAGGCATTTACGAAAACTACAATTTTTTAAATGCATTATTTGGTGGCTTTTATGGTTTTTGAAAATAAAAAACAATTACTAACATGTATGCTTGTATTGAATTCTACAAAGTTTTACCGCAACTAATATTTGTATTATATATTCTAAAATATATATAGCTACTTAATAAAATATATAACTTTGTATAGTTTCATAAAAAACGAAAATGATTTTATTTTTAAATGAATAAAGTTGTTTTTATTCAAGTAACTTTCCTACTTGTAAATATGCTTATGCTGAAAAATTAATTTAAGGCATAATGTGTTTGTCATACTTATGGGCTTATTTAAAATACTTACATACATATGTACATATACACATACATTTAAGGAATGCATTAACGTATATATGCAAAATATATTTATACATTGACTTAGCTGTATATATGCATACGATTGTTGCTGTTAATAAATATAATAAATCTGGTTTGGGCAAAATTTGGTAAAGGTAAGCTGTAAATAGACTCATAACTGTAAATATTTCGAAAAAAATTTTTGAAAATAAAGCGGTGAGTATTGTTTGATTAAACATATACTAATATTTAACAAATTCAAAAAATATTATAATAAACCTGGTCTATTCAGGGGGAAATTATTTCTCTAAAAGAATAGCGTTATTGGCTACGAAGTAGGTTTTGTATGTTGAACCAAGCCAACAAGTACAAAGACACTAGCTGTCTACTTTTTGAATTGCTTGAGGCTATTTAGAGGGTTGTAGAGTTAATCAAAGACCAGCGTTGCTTCAGTGTTGTTGAACCGACAAAGCAACTAAAAGATAACGTTTTTATAGAATCTGATAAAGCTTAACACAAACAGAGTTGGAAAATAATTGCATGATGACATCAATATCTTGAAATCGCCTGGGGTTGCGTGTATGTATACGATTGTTTGGGAGTAGACTGTGGGAACTTTTAGAGGATATTTATCGGTAATTTTAAATACTACTTTGGTTAATGCATTATATACTATTCTACGTATGCTCGATTGCTTTATAATTAAAACTATCGAAAATTAATAGAGCTGGGAGTTATGTCATTTTCCATATGAGTAGCTGTTCCTATATCTCTCTTTTGGAGTTTATACCAGGTTTTTTTTTGGTTCTGCATTGCATTTTTTGGCAGACATTACAAGAGGCAAACACCTAAGACAAGATAAAATTGATATGAATTTTGTATCTCTAATCATACATTATCAATTATATAGACATTAGAAAGTTTTATCTCAAACACTGCTGATTTTATATAATTTAGTATCATAAATTTGAAATTCTATCTAATATTCGAAGATCGATCCATCGGTTAGCGCGTGTCATATGAATAACATTACTAAAATATACATTAGGACATATGGTATCCCATGTCGTATGAGTAATACATATAATATTAGTACAGGAAAAATAAATGAATAGTAAATAGGTTAAAACGTTAACTTCGGTTGCACCGAACTTATAATACCCTTAACAAATACAAAATATTCCTTACAAAAACTTGATTTTGATCGATCAGTTTGTGTGGCAGCTACATATATGCTACATACTACATGCCGATCTGAACAATTTCTTCAAATAAGAATTTCTTCAAATGAGAAGCTTCGTACTGTGCATGTGACGTGCGCAAAATTTTAGATAAATATCTCCAAAACTAACGGATTAGTTGGCATATATGCAGACGGACGGACACACAGAGGAACATGGCTAAATCGACTAATTTTATCACGCGTACCATTTATATATGTATATACTTAATAGGGTCTCCGACACTTCGGTGTTAAAAACATCGTGGCAAATTTATTATATCCAGGGTACATTTTTGCTTTAAGAATACGCTGATTAAAATTAATAATTTTTCCAATTCTGGAAATAATTGTTAAATGGTGTTTACATCTAGTTATAGAAAAATATCGAGCACTCAGCAGTTTAATGCCAGATTACTGTATATTTGGTCCAAATATAATAATTCCTCAAGCTCATAGTTAAAGTTCTAAAGTAGTTAAAGTCCGATTTCGCATGTTTCCTAGCATTTTTGGTTAATGTAGCTTTAGCAAACTACATACAGGCGACTACCGAGATATTTTAGCACCAGTCTTGCAAAGGCTGAACAATGAAGGAGACTGGATGCTTCCATCCCACTCTTTTCCATATAACTTTCACATTGACGTCCGACTGGAATTTTTACCTTACAGCGTGGGTATGCCTATTGAACGAAGTTCAGTAAGAACTCGTACGATTGCGACAAAATGAACTTTTCTAAGAGCAAGTAGTATATCTCCTCTGTTCTACTCTACGTCGACCTCACAGTTAAGCGCACACGAGGTCCATAGGTGCAGTGCTAGAGCGCAAGATGACAGCGGAGATTCAGCCGCCAGAAACAGCCGCCAGCTTGACCCTGTTTGGACTCTTTCATATACCCAGCTTCTCTGAGCCTTAGAGTGGCCTTGTAGTAATGCAAGTGCCGGCAATATCCAAGGGTGCAATGTGTATAATGGCATTAACTGTCATTGTTGGTGTAGTCCGCAGTGCACCGGGGATGCCGTTGAAAGCCGCTCTGTGCATATATATATAACTCTATCTTCATTAATTTTTGATGATACAAACAACCTTTAGGTCAACAGATCTGTTAAAACATATTTCAAACAAATTACTTTAATGCAAAATTAATGCACTGAGATGTAGTAAAAAGGGTTAAAGGAAATTTTAGGACATTTTCAAACCATGGAATTTAAGGGGGTACAGGCCAAATTTTACGAAGAACTCCACATTTCCTTCGATCACTGTAAATGAAGTTTGGTGAACAGCATTTTGCCGATGACTTCTTCATACAAAATTGCCATATATTATAATTTTTAATACGAAAAATGTATTGTACTTGACTCTCAAATATTTTAATGAAGCGGGATAAAATTTATTAAACTAAGATCAGTCACTAATTATAATATATTAATTAGTCATATTTCTTTAGAAAATTGGCGAAATTCTTCCACTATTGTGCTTTCCACTTGCACGTTTGGCCCCTGCCTATACTTGTATGAGAAATTTAAGCTGTTTGTATGAGAAATTTAAGCTGTAAATATTTTGGTTAGTCTCAGAATACATGGGAAAGAAAGGCGATATTGCTGTATAATCTCCCTTAGACCAATAGGTCATATAAAGCTGTGCCCACGTTACTTCAAAAATTATATTTCACTACTAGCTATTTCTTTGCAAATATTCCGATTCGGTTACCTTACTTGAAGTTTTGGTTAAGCGCGTTGAAAAAAGTTAACCATCTTGTTAATTGTCAAAAATTATTGAAAAGTGCAAAATATTTTAAATTTTGTATAGCTTTAGAATTTAGTTGAAGTCTGATTGTTGCTGAAGAGGAACATAAGTCAATATTTGTTTTTGATTTGATAGAAATAAATACGTTCTAATAACAATAGGTGGGCGCGAAATCACCATTTGAGACCTTTATTTCATAAAGCTATATATGTACATGTATCGCTATTTGTGTAACAACTGTGTATATGCATACATGTGTATGTATACATTTATAACGATATTTATGGAATGCATCGTTTGGCAGCAGTTATAAAAAATCAAATCAAATTTATGAATCCCCTAATGACAGCGTATTTGTAACTGAAATTGAAAACATAGCTCGAGGTGTAACGGTACCGACTAGGTTGTCTACCAACCTAGGGTTTGAACACTACGAATATCCACAATTGCATGCGCGCTGGTGTATGCCTATGAGACCTAGCACCGACGACTCAGAGAAGGGTTTGATTGCAACATATACGCACCTACACACATACATGTGTATTGGCAATTTATTACCGTTCGCTGGGCAAAAGAAGCAAATTGTTTCAATATGACGGCTGCTGGCGCAAAATATCTGCTGCGTTGTTTTCTCTACAGTTAATATTTATGACCATAAATATGAAATGTCCATTCGCACAGCGACAAGTACAAACATAAACATAAATTCACAAATGTATATATGTCTATACCATATATATATATATATTTATATTAGGGAGAACCTAAACCTAACCTTTCGAATTCATGGGTTGAAAATAACCTATATACAGAGGAAAAATACTCCTGCAAGGAAAATTTTTTGCATATTTGAAAAGTGTCGGTGAGCCTTCAAAGTTTCCCACATGAATAACACGTAAAGAATCAGTTTTCATTCACAATAAATATAAATTCGATCCGCTTAGGATCAAATTGTTACCGATTGCAGTAGAGCATAAAAAAAAAAATTACCTCAAGTGAATTTTTTCAAATCATAAACATTTTGGCTTGCGGGGATATTTTGTTCTGTATACATGCACAACCCAATTCTCAGAAGTGCGGTTTCTTTTAGAGAGGTAGACAGAGCTGCTATACAAGCCTCGCTGATTGTGAGCTTAGAGCTAGTCAAGCAGTGCATGAAACCACTAGCAGTAGCATTAAGCTACTCCCATATTAAACTAGTCTGGTTGCCTGGCCACAGTGGGATCGTCGGAAATTGTAAAGTCAATGAGCTTGCAAGAAAAGGCAATCTTACCTTAATTCCACCAGGGTGGGATCGAGTAGGGGTTCCCCTGTCTTGGTGCTTTCGGGTGCTGGATATGGGCCTCGCGCGAACTCACACAAGCCTTGGTCAGCAACCAGCACTTGTGGGGTTGTGAAAGCTTTCTGGCCCAGTGTAGAAGGT